TTAATAAAATCAGTTTAATAAACACAATAGATTCCTCCATCTATGCTAGTCACAGGACAGCTGTAATACACTTTCACCAGCACAAAAAGTAGAGATTATTGTCAGTTGAGATGACTTTACAGAGATTTGATAAATTCACAAAGGATACATCCAACAGTGGCTAATATTACATGAAAATGTCATTCAGACAAATAAAAAAATTGTTCAAAACGTATCAGCTTTGCTCAAGTTAGGGCTTTCCTTAGAGAATATTCAGAAAATATAGTAGGTTCAAAATGCATCCCTCAGGCTCCTGACAACATAATACAAGTTTAGCAAGGGTCTCTAATTGGTTTCCAGATCCAATTTAAGGCACAATTCTGACCTATAATGCCCTCCATGAAATGGCATTCAGATAGGTATGGACAGTTTTTTGGCCAGATTTGGTCCTCTCAATTAGATTAACCCAGTGAAAATTTGTTGACAAACCCTTATTCTAAAGAGGTTTGGAGAGTTTAGATAAGAAAAGAATATTGCAGAACGAAAACTGTAGAACAGCTGCCTTTTTTGTTGGCCTATGAAAACTGTTGAAAACCCAGATGTATTGGAGAATCTTTTTGCATATTTGATTTGATTTCATCTTCTTATCTCTCCTATCTCAGATCCTACACATGACATGATCAGTTGCATATTCAGTTGCAAAAAATATCAAAATCAAAATGACAAGAGTTTCAAATACAACAAGGGAAACAGACTAGCTGTGGCTTGTAAATAAAATTCATGCTGGTGAGCCTAATTAATGCTTGGAAAACATCTGGTGTGTAAGTAGTCAATAGTCAGATTGTTCTGCTTTTTTTCCCCATTACATAAACCCTACTCACATGAGTGAGCTTGTTAGGTTTAGGTTCTTGAAGTGCTCACTGTGTATTCAGGTTAAGTTCCATCTGGTTGTCTCAGAGCAGGTTCCTTGTCATAATATATGCTTTATATTGTATTTGTTTTCTATGTGAGCTGCTAAGAATTTTGATACAATATGATATGGGATAAATATCAACTGAAAACTATCTGTTTCTTAAGATAATTCCTGAAGAAAATAATATTTTATCCATGAGTGATTTACTGCCACCAATAGAGAAATGATACGACCTCTTTAGAGCAAGAATAAGATGGGTATTTGGTCTGAACTAAAATGACTCTCTAATTAAAATAGATTAGCAATTTATTGACAGTGAATATCATGCTTTTTGCAAAATACTTGAATGTATATATGAATGACAAATTACTCAGTCATTTTCCTTATTAAGTGTTCCCTGTTGTTTAGTTTAGGTCTAAATACAATGATATAGCATTTAGGGAAAAAGATACAGCCTAGGAGCCCAGCACTAGAACATAAGATGGAGAAGATCTCCACAGCCACCATGGCTTTTCCTCTAGTACTCAGATAAGTTGGAACAAAGGAGACCCAAACACTACAGAAGGCCAACATGCTAAAGGTGATGAACTTGGCTTCATTAAAGCTGTCAGGCAGTTTACGAGCATGGAAAGCTACGACAAAGCTGGCAAAGGCCAAGAGACCCAGATAGCCCAGAATACAGTAAAACATGGAGACTGATCCTTCATTACATTGCAGAATGATTTCTTCATTTACTGAATGCATGTCTAACTCAGGGAATGGTGGACAGATTGATAACCACACGGTACAAGTTCCTGCTTGGAGAAGAGAGCAAGCAAGGACAATGGAAACAGACAATCTTTTCCCTACCCATGTCCTCACCTTTGATCCAGGCTGTGTGGCTATAAATGCTAGAGAAACAAGAATGGTTTTGGCCAATACACAAGAAACAGCCATGGAGAAGATAATACCAAAGGCAGATTGTCTAAAAGAGCAGGTGACTTTCCTTGGTTGTCCAAGAAAGAGCAACGAACAAAGAAAGCAGAGCAGAAGACAAACAAGGAGAATGTAACTGAGATCCCGGTTATTGGCTTTGACAATGGGACTATCTTTGTGCTTAACAAAAGTTCTAAGCACCCATAGTGTTACCAGGGAAAATGAAATAGCAACTGAAGCTAAACTGATCCCTAATGGTTCTTCATAAGAAAGAAAGCTTATTCTTTTAAGGATGCATCTGCTTTTTTCATGGTTAGCATACTGATCTTCTGGGCATTTGTAACAATCTGTATCTGAAAAGAAAAGTCCCATGTTAGTGCTGATTCATGACTAAATCAATAGCCATAACAGGTAATAACAATTGATAATCAAATTATGCTTAACCGTGCTTATACCTTTAGTAATACTGAATACAATATCTTGTTTTCAATGGTGCCCAGCTGATAATGCATTTTAAATGGCACCTTTTTACAAATCTGATGAAATATATACAAATTAAAGTATAGCTAATGAAATCAGTGTATAGCTATTTGATTAAAACTCAGCCCAAATAATTATCCTCATGTGTTAGATTATCCCCACCAGCAGGAAATTTCTACAAAAATGGCATTCAATTCAAGTATCAATTCAAAGGCTGCTTTTCAAAAACAAAGGAATGCACAGACCAAAAAACTAAAAAAATAAGAAATTAATGTGTCCAGTCCAATATGTATACATTATTTTAATTGAAACTGAATTAGATGTAGATAGTTATAGCTAATATTCACTTTCAATTGTGTCTGCATGGTCTCTCTTTCTCTCTCATCCAGAGATAGTTGATTTTTTGGGGGAGGGGGCTCAATTGAATCTATATGATGAGCAAATTTAAAGTATTTCAACAACACTTACCAATCTTGTTTGAAACCTTCCCTTTTGGACATGGAACACAATCATAGCAGCAAAACTTTTTTCCTTCACTCTTTCTCTTCTGATAACCAGCCTGACAATTTTCATTACACATTGAAATGGGAACAACCTACCAAATAAAATATACATAAAAAAGCTTCAGTGCAAACTGGGTTTATTCAAGAACTTTCAGTTGCTACAGTGAAATAAAGAAACGAACTTCTCATACACATACACACAAGCAAGTTCAATGCTGAATGAAAGCACCAAAAATGTTAATCACAACTTCATATTGCATTTCAGTCATTCAGTAAGTAATGTTATTTCTGTTTTCGATCTGCTGGATTTTATTGAGTCATGTCAACAAAAAAACAAAACAATTCAAGATAATGTTTTCAGCACAGGATTGAACTGTAGAGTCCTTGGTGCTCTCTGAGCTTGGCTATTTTCTTGGAGATGTTTCATTACCCAACTAGGTAACATTTTCAGTACATTGAAGATGTTGGGTAATGAAAAATCTGCAAGAAAACAATCAAGATCAGAGAACATCAAGGACTCCACAGAAAGTCTGCATTTAAAAGACAAAAGCCACTCTTTTGAAGACAGCAACATCCATATTTTGGACAGAAAGGACTGCTGGTTTGAAAGAGGGGTCAGAGAGACCATCTATGTCAAAACTGAACAGCCCTCTCTAAATAGAGGGGGAGGGATATGACACTATCTCCAGTCAACAACACAGTCCTTTCAACAGTTCCAAGAAGTCTCCACACCCATTTGCACTACTCAGATGATCCAGATGACACAGATAAACCTCCAGGTGGCCTCAGCAACTCTCTAAATGAATACAAATGACTAACTATCTGCAAGGAGTATAGGTCCTTCCATCCCCACCATCCAGTCAGAGCTGAAGAAGCTTCTTGGATGAGATGCAAAATATCTTCAAAGAAAAACAAGAAAGTCCAGTTGCCTCATGAAAAAGCATCTTTGGAACTCCACAGAAAGGCAAATTTCCAAGCCCAATGAACTCATATGAGATTGTTCCATCAACAGTCACTGAACTGATACCTGATTGAACCATCTGTGCCAAACTATCATGTCCTCATTAATAATTAATTCTTTTCCTTCAGGTGCTTCTCCATCCACTCTTCCAATGTTTACCCGCTGAAAAGAGATGTTGGGAAAGGTGACCAAGTTCATGAGGTCAAATCCATTTTCTATTTCCTTGCTTTCACTAAAGGAAATTGTTTCTCCAGCAGAGTTGTTAAATGAAATGCTTTGAAGAAATGGATGGAGCTATGTGATTTGGAAAACAAAACAATTAAAAGGGAATGAAAGAATAAAGTATAGTAAAGATATATTTAACAGATACACACACACACACACACACACACACACACACACACATATATATATATACTGCTCACAAAAATAAAGGGAACGCAAACCCCTTCAGTTCCATGGTAAAATATTCCCTTTATTTTTTTGAGCGGTATATATTAACCAAATAAGAAAGAAAAACAATATAACAAACCAGACTGTTTAATATAAACAAGCCTGTGGTTAAAAAGAGTCACTAAGCTTTCGTCAGGCCAAACTACCGACTTCATCAGAGTTGGAGTAAAAGGAGATCAGGAAGGCAGCTCATGCAACCTCCTGCCTCTGTGCCTCCTGCCTCTGCCTCCTGCCTTCCTTGAGCGCCCGTTGATTGTATTAATCCGTACTGCGCAGAATTGTTCTGCATCAGGCAAACTGTCCTTGGCTCCACTGGTTGTTTTACGATCCTCAAGTGCTCTTTTACAGTGTGTGCAAGCACTTGGAGGGCGGCTGTCAACCGGTCCCTGCGCCCAGTCTCCCTCCCTCCCAGGGCCATTATCCTCCCCCACCCCCAAGGCCGTTGTCATCTCCCCCGTAATTCCTCCGCCCCAGTCCTTCAAAAAGCAGTTGTTCTGGCATTCCTGCTCTGCATCTTCCCCCTCCTTCCAGATCGCCTCTGCTTGTCCGTCCCTGGCTTAGGGTCATTTGGTCCATCATCTCTGCCCATGGGAGTCGTGGTCGCCTCACCTGTAGAGCCATCATCCCAATTATGCAAGATGCTGTCCCATTGTTTTGGTCTCTGGTTTTCCCCTTTAACCAGGTCATTGTCCTCCTTAGGGATCGTGTCCATCTCATCCATCATTCTACTGCCCCAATCCTACGAAGGAAGACTTGAGTGTCTTCTCAGCAGACTGTGGCGCTGTCTTTCCCATGCCCTAAGAGTCTGATAAGACGCAGAGCAGGAATGCCGGAACAGCTGCTTTTTGCAGGACTGTGGCAGAGGAATTACGGGGGAGAAGACAATAGCCTTGGGGGTGGGGGAGGATAATGGCCCTGGGAGGGAGCGATACTGGGCGCAGGGACCAGTTGACAGCCGCCCTCCAAGTGCTTGCACACACTCTAAAAGAGCACTTGAGGATCGTAAAACAACTAGTGGAACCAAGGACAGTTTGCCTGATGCAGAACAACTCTGCACGGTACGGATTAATACAATCAACGGGCCAATGATGCGCTCAAGGAGCCGGGCGCAGAGGCAGGAGGTTATATGAGCTGTCTTCCTGATCTCCTTTTATTCCAACTCTGATGACGTCGGTAGTTTGGCCTGATGAAAGCTTAGTGACTATTTTTAACCACAGGCTTGTTTATATTAAACAGTCTGGTTTGTTATATCCTGGTGTTCGTTTTTCTTTCTTATTTGGTTAACATAATGCCCAGGATTCACATTTTAGCATTTTAAAACACACACACACACACACACACACATATATATAGAGTGCTTTTTTTTCAAAAAAAAAAAAAAAAAAGGTGCCAGAATTCACACACATCATACAACCCGCCTTGCCTACCCTACAAGGTTCCATCCAGAAAAGGTGCCGGAACTCCATTCTGGGCGTTTTATGAGAAAAAAAGCCCTGTACTTGTTATATATATATATATATAACAATATAATCAAAATTGCTCTAACCTATCCACTGAAGATTCATTTTGGCATGAAGTTTACCTGCCAAGATTGAAGTCCTTGACATAAAGATCTTTTACATGCTACCCAATTTTTTTGGTTGGATCGGAGTGAGAAAAGAGCATGCAAAGCATGTGCCACAGCATAAACAGCATTATAGATGCTATAGCTGTGTCCAGTCATCTGGGTTTCAAAAAGAGGTTGAGGAAGATTTCCCAGACTGTCCTCTCCAGAACATGCATCATTGTCTGACATTAACTCCAGTAGTTCTGGAAACAAACAGTCGAAAGCTTGTTCCCATACATCCTTAATAAATCCATCTCCTGTAGTCCAGGAAGGTTTTATGATTTGAAGAAATTTCTTGAACCCTAGAAGTTCTCTTGAGTGAATTGTAAAGGAGATGGCACCATGGAACAACTGGCTATTCCAATTTCTTTGCATTCCTGTTAACACAAAGTCAGACTGGGCAGTCATGATCCACACTTTTCCAAAGGACAGATGTTCCTTCATTCCATTGAGAAGAAATATAACAGCAGCCAGCCATAACACTTGCAAAGATTCTCCATAAATGATAAAGGTACTAATTCTGTCATCTATTAAGGGCAAATATATGTCTGATGCTATTTCAAGTATTTCTTTTAAATTATCCCAGTGGGCTAATTGTGGGATTCTTTGTGTATAAGCTGAACAGATTCCATTCTGGGAAAACAATTGTTCCATGGTCCCTAAGAAATGTTCTCCATTGCTATTATCTACAGCAAAGATTCCAACCCATGTCCATCTGAAATGTTGAAGGAGTTGGATAATCCCAGCATATTGTTTAGATTCACTTGGAACCATGCAATAAAAGGATGAGATCTGGGTTCTATGAATGTTTTGTGGGACAAATGAGCCATATGTGAGCTAAAGAGAAGAGGAAGAAGAAGAAGAAGAAGAAGAAGAAGAAGAAGAAGAAGAAGAAGAAGAAGAAGAAGAAGAAGAAGAAGAAGAAGAAGAAGAAGAAGAAGAAGAAGAAGAAGAAGAAGNGAGGAGGGGGAGGAGGAAGAGGAGGTCATCAGTATTTCTTGCTCATGCAACAGATATTTATTCAAATAATTTGTTAGATTCAAGAATTACAATTTTAGAATGCAAGGAAAAGTTTTCAAGCTATATAATTGCAAGGCTATTTAGGACTTTTTAGATTCTTAGCACTTTATAACAGTAACATATAGTCGTTAAAACATCCCTAATATAAATTAAATTATCTATCTGGATAATTCCAGTCATTAGATTTACATTTAGAATATTGCACTGGACTCAAGCTGAACTAGAAACTCTGGTTAGAAAGACCAGAAAAATAATGACAATCAAACATGTCTTTCATCCACATAGTGATGTTGACAGACTGCAGTTAACAAAGAGCATAGGTTGGTGTGGAATGTTGCAATTATACGGAAAATTACAAAGAAAAAAGGGCATTGGAAGAATATCAAAAGGACAGTGAAGAAGATGCACTGAAACTAGTATACCCTGAATGTTTACTGAATACCAGGGAAGCCAAGGTAGCCTACAAGAAATATGAAATGAAGAATAGAAAGTAGGCAAACTATTACTTATTCGGTACATTTAAAAAAACCAGATAACAGCAAAACATGGTAGTAGCTAAGAGCACAAACATTGAAGAAAGAGACAGAGGGATAATTCTAGCCACAGAATAAAACAAAAAACCCAAATGTATATGAAGTAAGAATTGAGAAGACAGCAAAAGACAACAAATGTCGACTCTGCAAAGACAATGAAAAAACAGTGGACCACCTAGTTAGCTTCTGCAAGAAGATCACACAGATTAAAAACAACGTCACGACAAAATAGCAACTATAGTGCATTGCAATATCTGCAAGACATACCATTTGTCTGCAAGAAAAAAAAACAATGGGACTACAAAATAGTCAAAGCAATAGAAAATGAAGAAGCTAAAGTGTTCTGAAAATTTAGAATTCAAACAGACAAGCATCTGCCACATAACACCTCAGATATAATAATTACCAATAAGAATTTTTTTAAAAAAATCTGCCACATAACACCTCAGATATAATAATTACCAATAAGAATTTTTTTAAAAAAAATCTGGATAATGAACATGGCAGTACGTGGAAGCAGCAGAATAAAAGGGAAGGAACTGGGAAAAAAAATCACAAAATACAAAGACCTGCAAATAGAAGTAGAATGACTGGGGCAAAAGAAAGCAAAGATAGAACCTATAGTAATAGGCTCCTTGAATGTAATCCCAAAACAACTGGAGAATCACTTGAACACTGTCGGCATTGACAAAATCACCATCATTCAATTGCAAAAGGTAACTTTACTTGGAACAGTTTACATCCTGTGATTATCCTTTAATACCATCAAACATCAACATCTGCCTATCTCAGGTCCTTGGGAAGGACTCAATAGACGGACAAAAATGCCCAATCCAGTCTAAACATCTGGTGACTATGTGGCCAACCATAATAAGAAAAAAAGAATAATAAAAGAAAAATAATAATGATTCCTCCTTTTAAAACCCAAGGTAGTTATAAAAACAGAGTGTACTGTTGTCCTTTTGTACTCCAGATCCTACCTGTGGAATCTTGTAGAAATCTACTATGTCTGCCATATAAGAAGAAGTAGCAGAATCCAGGCCTCCAATGATGCCTATGATGTTTTTATTAATGTCACATTTATAATTGGGGACAAATCTCTGTGATTTGAAAAGTAAGTCCAGAGTGGTCCGATAGGTCATCTTTGCATCATAGTAGCTGTCATAGATGTGGAATCCAAGGGTGACATTAGACAAGATCTGAAGATTCTCATTGATTTCTTTGACAGCAAAGGCCAAGGCAAGGGCATGTTGATAGAATTTTATTATCACACTGTAAATAGTCATTTTCAAAAATAATTGTACAATGCCTCCAAAATTTTCATTTTTAAATTTTTTAAGTAAATTAGCAATTGGGATTTTTGTGCTATTTCAATTGTCAGCACATTTAGTTTCTTTTATAGATATACTATGTATCATTTAGGACAAAATATAATTTGGAAGTTGCATCAAACTTTTCAATATCTACATTTATGTTTTGGAATCCCCTTGGGGGCAAAAACATATTTTCTAAGGGTTAATAGCTATGCTTGGAATCCAGTGAGATATGATACCTTTTGGACACCTTCTTCCCTCCCTTCCTTCCTTTCTTCTTAAAAATTAAAGAACCAAACATTCAAGTGACATATAATTCTAGGATGGAGTATGGGATATTTTGGAATCTTCATTTCTTAGTTGTCCCAAAGGTGGTTTTTTTTTTCTTTTAAAGGCAACTGGACTTTTTCTTTCTTTCTTTCTTTCTTTCTTTCTTTCTTTCTTTCTTTCTTTCTTTCTTTCTTTCTTTAAGACATTTTGCTTCTCATTCAAGAAGCATTCTGAGTTCATCCTCAGTTCAGTTCTTGATTGAGAAGTGAAACATCTTCAAGAAAAGAACAAAGAAAGTTATCTTTTGAAAAAGCATGTTTGGGACAACCATGAACTGGATGACTGATAATATCCATAGCCATTTCTCAGTGGTTGTTTTTGTTTTTGTTTTTTTAGACTTCAAAGTTTTAAGATTTACTGCAACATAAAATACGATGAAAATAAAGATTAAAAAAGGAGGGAATGCAGGAGGAGGAGAAAAATGGTGTTGACCTCTAATGTTTTCCAATATAATAAAGTACTAATACAACTTCTTACATTACCTAAAGTTATTACAAGTCAGTTCCACATTTCATAAGTTAGCTCTATATTCATGGCCTATTGTCCTATGCCCATTCAGTCATTAAGTTTGCAAATAGTTATGACCTTGTTACTTGCATTTCAAAACTAACTGAATTTTGAAATTTTGAAACTAATTTACTTGCAAAAGAAGGTCTTTAAAAAAGGAGAAAACATTACAAAAGAATTATGTCAACTTCTGTTCATAACATTAAAAAAGTCAAAAAGAGATCTAAACTCAAAATCATATTTCTATGTTGTGAGACTGCTGTTGCTTCTGCAAATAACCCTTTATGATTTAATAACTCTGTGTATCTAGTAACACAATTCTGTCTCTTTTAAAAAAAGACTAGTGCTCCCCACCCTCAGATCATGTCCCAAATTAGAAACAACCTGTTACTTGGGGACAATAAAGTCCACCCTTCCATATTTCTCTCCATTCATTATGATCTCTCTAAATTCAAGAGAAGCGCATAGAAAAAATACAAATGTCTTACTCTGGAATTCCAAAAAAGTTCTGAAAAGGATGATCCTTGAACAAAACCTCATTAAAATGGTAAATGAACTGAGAAGTCATTCCACCAATGATGATGTCCCCTGGTTGGAACCATTGATGTGGAACAGGGATGGAATCACCTGCAGAACATGTCAAACTATCAACTTTGATCACCAAGAGCATCAGAAACAGTAACATCTAGGTGGCAAAATCTAGATCAACTGTGTGCCTTAAACCATCTGTTCACACTTGTATCAATATAACTCTCCATACATCCCAGTCAATTCAGATCAATGCAAATCCTATATATTAGCCAACATTTTAAGGTTAATCTTAAAATTGGCTGATCAAATGAAGCAAGCAGCAGGCTAGGGAGAAGAAATAGAAGGTTAGAAAAGACACCCAGAAGACTGTCTGCTTCTGCCTCCTGTTTCTAACTCTCTGAGGCACAAATGTTTGTTTATAAGTACTTTCCGGGTAATTAATTGAGTGCTTTATTATTTCTGAAGTCTTTTGGAAATGTCTAGAGCTTTAGTTATACAAACCAATAATTCTGAAGAGGGAGATACAGTGAATTAGCCCCTTCCCAACCAACCTTCTAAAAGTCCTTAAAACATGGTTTTTCCATCAATCTTGGGGTTCTTGTGAGAACCAGATGGTTGCACTGTGTTTAAGTTGTTCATTCTCTCGCAATTTTTTTTTATTTGTGTTAATTGTTTTAATAGTTATGCTAGTTTTTAATTATTGGTTTTGTTGTATACCCTCCAAAATCATGCTTGTAAAATGGGCAGCTATATAAATTTGCTAAACTGATCATTCACATATAATTAGTTTTTCAGGAATCTTATGATAAGTGACTTCAGAAGCCAAATAAAGAAACTGAAATAAATTGAAATGGTTTTATTGCTGATTTATAAATTTCATCATCATAATAATGAAATCTCATATCATGAGATTTAGGAATATATTAATGTAAGACTTATAAATTAAATAATACATTTTGATAAAAACACAAATTTAGAGTCATTGATATAGGTATCATTTCTCCATGGTTAGGAATTATGTTTATATGTAAACTCATATCACACATATGAATCTTATATCAGAGTCATAAACTTACAGAAATTCAGAATTATTATTCCAACTGTAATTACTCAGGATAGTCTTCAAAGCCTTTTTACCACCATTATCATTTTTTTCAACCTATGATATTCAAAATGTATTTCAATAATGAAATGAATAGAGCAGTGATGGCAAATCTTTTAGAGACTGAGTGCCCAAACTGCAACCCAAAACCCACTTATATATCGCCAGGTGCCAGGTGGGCGTGGCCCACTGGGTGGGCATTACCCATTGGGTGGGCATGACCCATTAGGTGGGCATGGCTGTGCTGGTCACAGCAGACTGGGTGGGCGTGGCCGGTGTGGGCCACCTTGATGTTCTTCATGGGGAGGGATGCCTGTAGGGGTTGGGCAGGGTTGGGGGAGATCCAGGGGGGTCTCTGGTGGGTGGGACAGTGGGCAGGAGGCTCGTCCTATGGGGTGAGGTGAGGCAGGGGGCAGGGCAGGGCTGCCATTGCCACAGGGCAAGACAAGAATGAATTCCACTTGGACTTCCGGTGGCAGGCGATTTCGTCGGTCGCAGCTGTTTGCTGCCTCCCGCCTGTTTTGCGTAAAAGCCGGTTTGACAGCCAGCACCAGCTGTCAAACGGCTTGATACCTTTCCCCTGGGCATAAGGGGATAGGTGAGCTGCCCGGGTTAGGAGTTGAGTTCCCGAGTCGTCCTATATGGACGATGTAGGCGAAAACTCCTCCGGAGCCCCGAGGATTCTCCGCGATCCAGGACGCCTTCGCTTCGGCGAAGCTAGAAGCCGCCGCCACCGCTGCAACTTGAAGTTAATTGTGAGTTTACTTGTAAGCAGA